AAATCAATGAGACCAGAAGTTGGTTTTTTGAAAAGATTAATAAAAATGACAAAGCACTGGCAAATTTAACAAAGGAAAAGAGGGAGAGAATACACATAACACAAATAAGAAACAAAATGAGGGACATCACAACAGAATTACCTGAATAAAAGGATAGTATCAAGATACTATGAAGAACAGTAATCTAACAAATTTAAAAATCTGGAAGAAATGGACACAATGGAATACTATGCAACCCTAAAGAATAATGTAGAATCTGCAAAACACCGCATAACGTGGATGAACTTGGAGGACATTATGGTGAGTGAAATAAGTCAATCACAGAAGAACAAATATTGTATTAGTCTGTTATCATAAAAGTCAAGGAAAGGTTTTTTTTTTATGGAAGTAAATTTTCTTTGTTGGTTATCAGGGCTGGGATGGGAGGGGAGGGACCAGAGTTAGATAGGTAGAGATAAGTATTGATTTGGGTGAAGAGAAGGGGAATGTGCCAAATGTGACTGATCAACAGTGTGGCATTGAGGAAGAGGAAGACATAGAGAGGTACATTAGAGGTACAGACAACAAAGATGAATCTTTTGCACATACAGTACTGCGTTGTCAGTTAAGGCAAACATGGGTATACAGGTGCACAGATGGGTGGACAGGATGAACTATTGGGTATGTATATGAAGCGGGGAGTGTACCCAAGATCATGTATAGTGTTGGCTGTCAATGGTCCTATAAGTGTATTTGTATGACCGGTAAGAATTCCCAGGTGTATAGTAGTGCTGACAAGGGACAAGGGTGTAGTTACTTCTTGGTCATAGCCAGCTATGCAGAGGAACGGAGTAGTTGAACCTGTGGGCTCAAGGTCACAGTGTCAGGACATCAAGCTCAATTGGCATAACATACTACACAAAACATTGTTCTACCTCCTATTTTGGTGAGTAGCGATTGGGATCTTAAAAACTTGCAAGCAGCCAACTAGATGCAATGACAGGTCTTGATCTCTCCTTCTCCAGAGCAAAGAAGAATGAAGAAAACCAAAGATTCATGGAAAGAATTAGTCCTAGCGATTGGTATACCATGTGATCTTCAGCCTATATGACTACGAGACCAGAAGAACTAGATGGTGCCTGGCTACCACTGTCAACCACTCAGAAGGGGATCTACGGAGGAGATCCTGGATAGAGAGGGAAAACAATGTGGAACAAAACTTAAAATCATTTGGAAAAAAAAAAAAAAGGGGGGGGGGGGACCGGTTTTCTGGTCTGATAGAGCCTGGTAGAACCACTAAGACTATGGCCCCTAGCTGCTCTTCACGTCTGGAATTGAACCCACACCTGTGGCTTCTAGCCAAACAAAAGACAGGCATATGAACTAAACATTTACCTGAGGCAGATACACTCCTTGCAGAGAACAATCATGGGAGAAAGAAGGCCTGTTTATGCATAGAGAGATAGCTTAGGAGGCAAGAGTGTATGGAGGGATGAACACAGGGAAGAGATTAACTATTGGGAGGAAGTGGGAGGGAAGCTGTTGCATTGGGGTAAATTGTAGTCAATGTCATGAGACAAAGTGTATGTGAACTGCTGTTTGGAAAGTGAATTTGCTCTGTAAATTTTACCCCAAATCATTCATTCATTCATTCATACATACATACATACATACATACATAAAGAACTGTAAACTTGTATTTAATAGTTAAGCCTATGCAAGTAATCAAAAAAAATTATTTAAAATGGAAAATAAATTGGTAACACTAATAATGAAGTAGTATGTATACAAAAGAAGTATATAATGGTAATACACAATTACCTAGAATTTAAAAATGTATGTGGCCCAAATGTGCTCCTACTAGCTCATGTCATTTTGGATTTAAATGATGGTTAACTGTAAAATCTGATGATAAAGTACAGTTTCTGAAATGCTATTTAAAGATAAATGAAATCTTTGGTATCAGGGATCATTTAAATATAAGAAACAACCATCACTGAGAATTATTTTTAACATACAAAAGTTAGATAATCAAAGAACAACTAGCATGTTAATAAAATACTTACTGTTTAAGTTTTTCTGTGAATATAAATTTGGTAAAATCTTTCATTGATGGAGCAAAATACATAGTGTCCTTTATTTTAATACCTTTACTTTCAATGTGCTCTGAAGAATTAAACCGTAACACATAAAATGGATGTGCAACGCGTCCAAATATCTCAAATATCTATAAAATAAAAGAAAGATGCAGGCTTCTTTTAATGTGTAAAATAATGACTCAAAAGGTTAGTAAAATTTTGTTTTTAAGAAATGCTATTAATCATTGCTAAAACAAGGTAATTTTTATCAGTGGTAATATTTTAGTCATTTCTGCATACCCATAAAATCTTCCTATTTTGATTATAAAAGTATTTTTTTTACTCCAGATTTTGTGAATTTAAAGCAGCCATTAATGAGTTTGTTCATCAGGTTCCAATTATTTTGGAAGTAGTGTTGTTGTTGTGTATCACCAAGTCGGTTCCAATCCATAGCAACCTTATAGGACAAAGTAGAACTGCCCCATAGGGTTTCTCAGGCTGAAATCTTTACAGGAGCAAACCTCTCATGGAACCACTAGGGGGATTTGAACCACCACCTTTCAGTAAGCAGCTGAGTGCTTTACACTGCATCACAAGGGCTCCAACTTCAGTGGTACAGATTACTCTTCACTGTGTATAGCACAATTTATTTAACCTCTTGTACTACAGGATATTTTTGGTGGCTTCCAATTACCTTCAATATAATAATGTCATGATATACATCTTTATAGGTAAGTCTATGTACTTCAGAATTCATAAAAATTGATTTGTAAGAGGTGAAACTACTGGAGTTAAGAATATAAATATGACAAATTCTTGATGCAATTTCTAATTTTCCAAATAGACCAATTTACACCAATTGTAGTGACAGTGCCTATTTTATCAAACCATCAGTTCTTGATTTTTCACAGTAAGTGTTCTCCATTTTATGATCTTCAGCCTACTTTGGTGCTTCAAATGAATTCTATGTCTTCTTCTGGATGCTATGCTACCTTTATTGCTTTTGATTTGACCACTAAGCCTGAGAATGACAGATTAAATTGTGGTATTATGTTTTTCAATCTGAAATACTGAATCACCAAACCCTATATAATTTCAGATGGTCATGAAGAATGCCAATTAAGTAATGAAAAGGAAGATCTAATGGATGGTGTTAAAGAAATTTCCACTTCTATCACTGTGAAGAAGAGTAAAAGATACTTGGTTTTCAATCAAGGTTAATTGGATGCTAGAGATCATGAGGCTGACTTTAGATTGATCTTCACAGTTAGTCCAAGGTCTAAAAAGTGGTTTTCTTTATCCACTTTCTGAAAAAAGGGACAAGTGTATTAAGCATATTAATTTACTTCTTGGTACTTGCAATTTTTCAGAATTATGTGAAATGATAAAGCATTTGCCTCCTCTAAATGAAATGGAACTTCAGACATTCTAACTGATGGAAGATGCTACGTGTTACAGAGTAGGATTTATTTTCATGGGTTTTTTTAAATAATTCTAAATTCACAAAAACGATTTCTTTAATGACCCAGAAATACTTGCTGCCGACAAAAATTAGTTATCTTTTGTCTGACATTTCTTGTATGCAAACACTTCTGAACTGTAGGAAAACTGTGATGTAATTGTGATAGAGCCTCTATGGCAGAACAAATCACTGAAAAGTAACAGGCACAGTTATTTATCACCTATGGAAATAAAGCAAATACCCATCCCTAAAGTAGATGCTCCAAACTGTCTTGTGATTACTTGGATGACCAACAGACAGAAGCAACAGTGTTTTGTAAAGAAGAATTTTATCCCTTTTGGTATGTGGAGATAGTCGCTGAATGGCACTGGGTAAAAATCACCAATGCAGGAGAGTTTGTGTTTCCATTAGATTTTCTACACAACAAACCTTATGACTGTCTTATATTAGGGAGAGTTTTAGAAAACTGCTTTACCACTAATGATACCAACGAAAAAACGCTCCCCGTTCCAGATCATAAATTGTCAGTGTGCACTGTATTCTTCACTCACACGAAACACCTTTCACTGAGGTTCTAAAAGACTATAGTCAAGCAGATTTGGAATATTTGAAATTATTTGCTCAAAATTTAGAGCCAAGTTGGACTAGTTCGGACAATGAAGTTCTCAAATTTCAGCAAGTGGATTATTGTATTGTTTTAAATTCTAGGAGCTGACTATGATCTCAGTTAAAATAGTAGTTTATTCAATTTTTCCTCTCTTCCTTTCACTATCACTCTACCTTTTATTACTAATCAGTATGCTTAAAAATGTAAACAGGACTTGGGAGGTGGTGCAGTGGTTAAAGCATTTGGCTGCTAACCAAAAGGCGGCCAGCTCATATCCACAAGCCACTTCACAGAAGAAAGATGAGACAGTCTGCTTTCATAAAGACTTATAGCCTTGGAAACCCCACGCAGCAGTTGTACTCTGTCCTAAAGGGTTGCGATGAGTCAGAACCAACTCAATGACAGTAGGTTAGCATAGTATTCAAGCTTTTAATAACTTTTATTAGTTTCTAAAGAGGCAGAAAACAGCCCACTCATCAGGGCACCCCATTCTGAAGATATGATTACAAATAATTAGTGATTTTCAAAACAGTTAATGTATTCTGGAATATTAATATAATTAATAATATGAGGCTATATTTTATTGTAAAAGCACAACAAATAAGTAATCTAAGAAAATAATGAGAAACTTGCTTTGAAAGGATTTAGATAAAACCAGAATTGCAGAGGATGAAAGAGGCATATTGCAGCACCACTCTTACTGGTCTACATCACACACATATATAGTAGTAACTGTCTTAACCAAACAGCGGTCACCATCAAGTCTATATGGACATGGCAACCCCATGTGTGCAGAGTAGAACTGCATGATATAGGGTTTTCAAGGCTGTGATCTTTCAGAGGCAGATTGCTAGGCCTTCTTCTACGGTGCCTCTGGGTGGATTCAAATTACCAACTTTTTGGTTAGCAGTTGAGCACTTTAATCATTTGCTCTACACAGGGACAATAAAGGAGCTCTGGTAGCATAGTGCCTAAGGCATTTGACGGCTGACCAGAAGGCAGAAGGTTCAAACCCACCAGCCACTCCTCAGAAGGAAGGTTGGGTGATCAACTTCTGTAGTGATACTGCCTTGGAAACCCAAGGAGGGGTTGCTATGAGTTGGGTCTGACTCAATGGCACATAATAACAACAACAACAAGAGCAATAAATTGTATTTGTTGTTATTAGGTGCTATCAAGTCAAATGCGACTCATAATGACCCTATATGTAAGAGAATGAAACACTGCCTGCTTATGCACCATCCTCACAATTGGAGTAAGCACATAAAATTTGCAAAGGATTGGCTTAGGTACAGCTAGGGATGCAGAGGTGAATAAAACTCTGTTCCTATTGCTAAAAAGGAAAATACTTGGTTGGCACTTACACTCTGGATCTTATAAGGCTTTATGTCCTCTGCTGACTGCTCAGAATTACCTATTTGTTAATCAAAATATGTGGTCTTCCATATTAAGGATAGAAGCTCTGGTAGCATAGTGCCTAAGGCACTTGACTGCTCACCAGAAGGCTGGCGGTTCAAAACCCACCAGCCACCCCTCGGAAGGAAGGTTGGGCAATCCTACCTCCGTAGTGATACTGCCTCGGAAACCCAAGGAGGGGTCGCTATGAGTCGGGCCGACTCGACAGCAAACAACAACAACATATTAAGGATGGACGGACACGCAGTGTTGTTCCATTTGTAAAATATTAAAAAAAGACTCAACTTGATGGCTATTAATAAAACACATGTATATGTACTTCAGTATATGCCTATGGTGACACTTCCCTGCTGTCACTGAAATCTTTTTCCACTTGAAAAAGACTCCATTTTGAGCTTTCAACTGAGGAAGCCAAAGTCTAAAAATTTGAGAACAGTATTCAAAGCCAAATAAGGTTAAGAACTACTATGTGGTAGAAATTTTGAATGTTATCTGTCTCCTCCACTCAACTCTGAGTTAAGTAGAGAGTGAGGCATTATGTCCTATTTAATATATAAACAAACTATCTAGTAAATCCAAAAAACCAAACTGACTGCCATTGAGTCGGATCTGACTCACAACAACCTCTCCTTTGGTTTCCAAGGTGGTATCACTATGGAAGTATATTGCCCAATCTTTCTTCAAAGACTACCTAGGAAAGTATCTGACAAACACTAGGAAAGAATTCTATACATGTGTATTTAATGAATCACATGGCAAAGAGTAATAGGCGGTATTAAATCAATTTACAGGTAAGATACAAGATACTGAAGAAAATAAAGACTATACCAAACCTTAAAGCTCTAGCTTCTCATCTACTAAAATTAATAAACTCTTTTTAGGATAGATATGCAAAGTTATAAAAACTAATCAACAAAGAAAAAGAATCATTTCTAAGTTTTGCTCATTTTTAATTTTGGTCCCCCTTCCAGGCTGACTGTATGTTGCATCCCTTTCTCTCTGTTAAAATCTCATAACGGATAATTGTTAGGGAAAAACAAACAAACACTTGACTTGACAACTCCAACTGCACAATATAAGTATTACAAAGATTTGAGTTTTTCTTACAAACCTTTCCTGCAGCTTGTCGATCACTTCTAAAAATCACAGTCTCCTCATTAACAGGAGGTACACTAGTAAGAGATTCAATTATTACTGAAAAACAAAGCACAACAGATTGTTTTAAGATTTAATTAGAATTAATATATAATTTAAATGAGAACTTAGGCTTTAATTCCAACATCACTTGAAATAAGATTTAAGATAGAATAACATACAGCAGTTAAGTATTCCACTTGGTTAAAGAAAGCATTACCAAGTAGCACAGGGAGGTGGTTTCTACATGTTCTTGTTTAATATAAAACACTATAATTCTAAGAAATTAGAAGAAAAAATATTTTTTTTTAATTGTAATGTAACAAAACTTGAGTTACCCATTAAATAATCAACAAATTCAAGCTGTATATATTTTTTCAAACAATTCTTACCAAAAATAAAATCACATTTTGTCAAAAGCTTTTGTTTTAGAAGAAATTAGCTTATTTCTAACTTTAGGTAGTCTTTTCTACAAAGCAATGATTACTTACTGATACACAAAGGTTAAAGTACAAGCTTTACAAAAGCATCTTCCCCCAAATAGATGATGTAAGAATGATAGCACTCATAGTAATTTTTATCTTTACATTGAACTTCCTTCTCAAAAAGCAAAAGTGCTGTCCCACTGGTCTAGTATAATCTCCAATTGTTATGAATGCCACAAATGTTAAACATTCATAGTGAGAGAAAAAAAACAAACACGATAAACTCTTAGAAAATCAGTAACAAGCAAGAATATGCCATTACATTACATAGGAAATGCTGTATCTGTTTAGGAAATGAAATGTATTAGCTCAGATAATTAAAATTTATTCAAAGACCTTCATCTGTATCCCAATTAATTTCAACATTCAGTAGTTCTAAGTTCTGAATTTACACATAAGCAACACATTACAGGTCAGCATTCTCTGAGTTAGACCTGCTTATAGAATAAAGATAAGCATTATGGATTAAACTATGTCCCCCCAAAATACGTGTTGTAAATCCTAATCCCTATACTTGTTGATAAGAGCTCTGGTGACACAATGGTTAAACGCTCAGCTGAAAACCAAAGTCAGCAGTTCAAATCCGTCCAGTGACTCCAGGGAAGACCTAGCAATCTATTCCCATAAAGATCAGAGCCAAGGAAACCCTTTAAGGTTGTTCTACTGCCCTATAGGGCCAATGAGTCAGAAACTACTTGCTGGCAAACAGAAATAGGTATAACTGTGGAAGTAATCCTAATGAGGCCATATCAGTGTATGGTCTTGAGGTAATCATTTTTGAGATACAAGCAGTCCCCAGGTAAAAGAATCTCTGACTTATATAACCCATAGTTATGAACCAACCCTCAAAAAGCCTATATTAAAAATTTAAGGACCATATAATCATTTGTATAACAAATAAAAGCTACTTTGTAACACTCATCAGAACATTATTTTTACTGTATTACAATAAAATGTCTTAGTGTATTGGGAGCTCTGGTAGCATAGTGCCTAAGGCACTTGACTGCTAACCAGAAGGCTGGCGGTTCAAACCCACCAGCCACTCCTCGGAAGGAAGGTTGGGCAATCCTACTTCCGTAGTGATACTGCCTCGGAAACCCAAGGGATCGCTATGAGTCGGGACCGACTCGACGGCAAATAACAACAACAACAACAACAGTGTATCTGAAAGTATTTAATATTTTTTTTATGCATAGAAAGGTACAATGTATACTTACTATATATACTAAGACAAACATTTGACTAACTGATGTTAGATAGGAACCATACCTAACTCTTCCAATTTATGTACAAATTTGACTTAAAAACAGACTTGAGAATGGAACTCATTCATAATCCTGGAACTCCCTGTTTAAAAGACAGATTAGGCACAGAAAAATGGAGACAAGCAACATTATCTGAAGAAGAGGAAGGCAGACCAGTCTACAAGCCTAGGAACTCCAAAGATGGCCAACCAGAGAAGCTGAGACAAGGATTTTTCCTACGAGTAGACACAGAGAGCCTTCTCTAACAGCATCAGCTGAATTCAGAAATCTATCCTCCTAAACTGTGAGAAAATAAATTTCTGTTCCTTTAAAGCCACTCACTTGTGGTATGTTGTAGAAGAACTAAGAAACTAAGACAAATGAGTAGGAAATAATAATGATGTTGTTGTTGTTGTTTGCCATCGAGTCAGCCCCGACTCATAGCGACCCCTCCTTGGGTTTCCAAGGCAGTATCACTACGGAAGTAGGATTGCCCAACCTTCCTTCCGAGGAGTGGAATAATGATAGTGAGAACTAATAATTCATTCTCAATCACCTCTTCTCCCTAATCATCTTCCCTTCCCATAGAGTCAAATTAAATAAAAACTAAGCATCCTTAATGCAACACCCTCATTTTACAGAAAGATGAGAAAATAGACTCAGGAGATTAATATTACTCCATGGCCAACTGTAGGAAGAGATATCACCAGAACTTAGATCCCTAGCTCCAACGTTCTTCCTGTAACAACACAATTACTGATTGTGTCTCTAAGTCCAAGAGATCCGTTATTTTCTATGGTTCTGTGTGCCAGGTAGTTTCAAGTAATTTGGTGCAAATAAAGTTTGTACCATAAATTGAAAAAAAATCATTCAAACACTCTAAAACTAATAAATTGAAAGTACATGCTAGTAGTATTGAGTCTTAACTTCATGAAGCCCTTCTATTTCTAATTGGATAATCTCCACTTAGTTCTTTTTTCAAATTAAAAATAAAATAACTTCCAGTAGAACTGCAGTGTTGTAGCAAAGCCTCTCCCTTTAATCTTTGACTTTTTCAATTCATAATTTTTCCTCAGATTCTTATGTTTATTACATTTTCATTTTTGTATTTGGTCCAAGTAAAGTTGTATAGTTTAGGATTTCAGAAAAGAGTAGCATGCAAGGCAGCCATGTGCAGATATTAACTCATTCAATCTTTATTCCCTCTAGGTTGTGAATTTTATTAATCTATTCGATGTTTTAGTCAAAGTAGTATCTTTAAAAAACATTATTCCATGTGCATCATGTAATTTACATGTTTTTCCTTTAGGATAACCATTATAACATAAAAGTCTTCCCTATGCATCAAGTTTAATAAATGCTCAACTCATAATAATTATATGTAATCTGTTTGATTAAATTCCATAACTCAAAAAGTAGTAATGTAATAACTCAAGAATCATGTGGAGTTTTGATATTTTTGTAAAAAGTTTAACTTTATTCAGAAATTTAATTTCCTGAAAAAGTACAAAATTATGTAACTATCAATTTTTTAAATATTTATATGGCCTATTAGAACTTAGATCAAAAGATAAGGTTTCATTTCCACACTGTCTTATTATGTAACACAGCATTAGCAAGTGACTTGAATTTTCTGTGTCCTTTAAATCATTTCAACTAAGGGAACTGGCTGGTAATCTAGATCCTTCTCCCAGTTCAAAAATTCTATACTTTGTCAACTCTAGTTCTATTCTCTGGTCTGTCTTGCTATGAGAGTTTATGTTAGCTACATTCTGTATTTCAGGAGCTATCATATAATTCCTCACATCCTAGGGCTGAAAAAAAAATCTATAATAGATAGTTTTAGTAAAATTCCATAGTTTCATGTCTTGCCCTTAACACTAAATCATAGAACTTCATAATTTACCTGTTTATAAAATTCTAATGTGATAGGCAGAACAATGACTCCTCAAAGGCAGTCATATCCTAATCTCTGGAATCTGTGAATATGGCACCTTACATGGAAAATAAATAAAGAAATAAATAGGACTTTGTGTACGTGATCAAGGTTAAGAACTAGGAGAAGGTATTATTCTGGATTATGCCAAGTTAATGGCCTGAGTCCTTATAGGCAGAGAACCTTTCTTGGCTATGGTGAGAAAGTACTATGAATAAGGAAGAATAATCACTGAGATCCTACATTAGTGGCTTTGAGGACAGAGAAGGGTCATGAACCAAAGAATGCAGGCAGCCTTTAAAAGCTGGAAAAGGCAAGGAAACAGATTTCCCCACAGCCTCCAGAAATGAACACTACTCTGCTGACACCTTGATTTTAGCCCAGTGAGACTGTGTTGGACTCAGAACTGTAAGATATTATGTTTGTGATAATTTGTTTCAAGGGCAACAGAAAATTATACCAAATTAAAGAAAATTTTGGGGAAATCAAGTCAGTAAAAGCAGACTTAAATTTTTTATAAAAACAATGCATTTTTATATAGTCTATATAAATGAAAACTGAATTTTTTCCTTTTAAACTTAATGAGTATAAAATGAAGCAGTATTACAGATTTCAAAGAAAATTTACCACTCACAAAGTTCTTGATTTAATTATTTGTGCATCTTTGTATATAAATAATAGTAGTATTAATTATTTACCTACCTAACTGTTCAATAATACTGGAAACCATCCCAAGAGGCTTTAATTCAATATCTTCAGGAAGAATAATAGTGAGTTCTTCAACAGATGGTAACTCCTGTAATATAAAACACATTAATTTTCCTCCAGTTCAAGAACTTAAAAATAATTGGCTGTATCTTTTGTTTCAGTCACTGAAGATGTAGCATTAAGTGCTTGCAGCATCACTTCAATGTTATTTTTTTTAGTGCTGACATAACATTCTGAAGGCATTTTCCCTAACTGCATCATCTCCCCACCTATGTGATTTACTGGATCTAGAGTAAAACTGGATTTTTACATCACAAATCCAGCTATACCAAGAACACAGACATAAGGCTCCATTCCAGATTTTTCCAATAATGCTTGAACAAGAGAAAAAAAAGATCACTATTGTTAAGGAATTCAGGGTAAAAGAAAGAAACAATTTTTATTATAATTCCATTACATTTGAAGAGAAATAATCCTACTATCTCTACCCAGAGCAGTCACCTCTTTTATTATTTTATTTGGTTAATTTCACTGGGATTAAGTGGTTAAACAGACAGAAGAAGAAGCAACAATCTCGTCTGTGGCTATATTGAGAAGAAATAAGTGTCTGGCTTCTCAGGAAAAGGAAATGACACTTGTCAGGCAATGTGTTAGGCTGGGTTCTCTGGAAAAGCAAAACTAGTAAAGCTTATAGAGAGAAAGAGAGAAATTTATCTTAGGAAAATGGCTCGCACAGTTATAAAGGCTGGCAAGTCCCAAGTTCCTGGATCAAACATCAGGCTGGAAGCTTTTCCCAACTCACACAGCTGCAAGGGCTGACAAGCTCAAGGCTGGCAGGCAGTAACAGTTGTTGGCTTCAGTGGATGATGAATCCAAGATCACCAGGCAGAATGGTGGATTGTTCGCTCATAGATAGTTGTAACCAGCACAAAAGGATCCAGAGCCACAAAAGGCTCCCCAATTTTCCCAGGATGTTCATATAATATTGGAAGCAGGCCACACCCCTAAGGAAACTCCCTTTCAACTGACTGGCGCTCAAAGCATATACTTTGGATCACATCATGGGAATAACCACATCACAACTACTTAACCACTCAGAATCGTGGTCCAGCCACATTGACACACAACTCCAACTATCACAGTCCACCTCTTGTCAACTTGACAGTTGTACACATCTCCTTAACCACACATAATATCTAAATAAGGACAATTACAGTCATACTTGCACCTAACATGATAAAACTAATACATGCTCAATTGAAAACGTATTAACCCTGTTTACATTTTATAGTTCATAACTGAAGAAAACAAAAACATTTGATGTACACATACAATGAAGAAATGTAACAACCAAAGTCTTGTTTCTATAGTTGGTCATGTGGTCATAGCTGGTATTCAGGACTACCTTCTTCCACCACCCATTCTGTATTTCCATTGCCCTCAACAAGTAAATCAGCTGGTCAAGATTCTCTGCCTGGTGGGGTGACCCAAAACGTCATTCCTGAAGGGACTGGGCCATGAGTAGTCATATCAGAATTGGGTTGCTTTAGTTTTCCATTGACTTTAATCACAGGGCATGGTAGTACTAAGAAATGTCCTAAAGAATCTCCTATATTCCAAACATATTTTTCTTTACTTCCATTACGTAATATCAATCCAGTTTCCCCTTGGTAATCAGTATCTACCACACCAGATAGTACAGTAACGCCCTTCTTTGCCGTTGATCCAGAGGCATGGGGAAGCCAAAATGGCCAGGTGGCATTCTTAACTTCCACTTCAATGTAATCAGTCTTTTGTGTCCAGGTGGAAATGTTCCTCCCATTGGGACTAAGACCTCCAGACCCACAGAGCGTAGGGTTGCAGAGACAGGAAGCAAAATGTTTTTAATAGGTTACTAGGGGTAATAGTGAGTGGTACCACTCTCATTTCCACCCCTGGGTTCCTACACTGGTGAATACTAACTATTGGAGAAACAGCACCATATACTGGATGCTGGTTTAGAACACATACAGACTCCTGGGGAACACTGCCCCAACCCTTCAAGGTACTGCCACCAAGGTGATGCCATAATGTCTGAGGCAATGCTGTATGAAGTACCATAACAGTGGATAAGGCATTCTATAAGTGTATGGATGGTAGTTTTGGCAGAAGCGTTGTATGCAGGGAAAGCAAATCCATATCCTGAGTAAATGTCTATTCCAGCAAGAGCAAAATGCTATCCTTTTCATGATGGAAGTGGTCTGATATAATCAACTTGCCACCAGGTTGCTGGCTGACCTCTCCAAGGAATGGTTCCATATCACAGATTCAGTGTTTGTCTTTGCTCCTGGCAGACTAGGCACTCAGCAGTGGCAGGAGCCTAGTCAGCCTTGTAAGTGGAAGTCCATGTTGCTAAGCTCATGCATAACCTCCATCCCTGCCACCACAGCCACTTTGTTCATGAGCCCATTGGGCAATGACAGGAGTAGCTGGTGAAAAAGGATGACTGGTTTCCACTGAATGTCCTATCTACTTGATTGTGAAAGTCCTCCTCAGCCAAGGTCACTTTTTGGTAAGCATTCACATGAGACACAAATATCTTTACTCCTTTGGCCCATTCAAAGAGATCTATCCACAAACCTCTTCCCCATACATCCTTATCACCAATTTTCCAATCATGCTCCTTCCAAATCCCAGACTATCCAGCCAAACCACTGAATCAGTATATAATTGTACACCTGGCCATTTCTTGTTCCATGCAAAGTGAACAGCCATATGCATGGCTCAAAGTTCTGCCCTTTGGGAGGATTTCCCTTCACCACTGTTCTTCAGGGAAGTCCCAGAAAGGGGCTGTCGTGCTGCTGCTGTCCACTTTCCAGTAGTGCCTGCAAAGTGGTGCCTGCATATTGTGCAGAACCATCTGTAAACCAGGAACAAGTTTTCTCTTCCTCAGTCAACTGATCATAAGGAACTCCTCATGAGGCTATAGGTGCAGACTGGGAGAGGGAAGGTAATGTGACTGAAGTGGAGAAGACAGGCATTTGGGCCACTTCCTCATGCAACTTACTTGTGCCTTCAGGTTCTGCTCGAGCCTCATCTCATCTCTCACTTCCATTTAACGATGGAGTGCTGCTGTGCACGTCCAATTTTATGACTCTGTGGGTCAGAAAACACCCAGTTCATGATGGGTAGCTCAGGTCTCATGGTTATTTGGTGACCTGTGGTTAGGTGTTCAGTTTCCACAAAAGCCCAATAACAAGCCAAAAGCTGTTTCTCAAAAGAAGAGCAGTTATTTTCAGAGGATGCCAGGGCTTTACTCCAAAATCCTAAGGGTTTGCCCTACAATTCACCAATAGGGGCTTGCCAAAGACTCCCAACGTCATGTCTATCTGCCACAGACACCACTGCATCAGCTGGATCATATGGCTCAAGGGGCAAAACAGTTAGCATAGCAGCCTAAGCCTGTTGCAAAACCATATGTTGTCCTTGGCCCCAATCAAAACTAGCAGCTTTTCAAGTCACTTGATCAATAGGCCAAAGCAACACACCCAAATGAGGGATATGCTGCCTCCAAAATTCAAAGAGGCCTACAAGACATTGAGCCTCTTTTTTAGTTGTGGGGCAAGCCAGATGCAGTAACTTATCCTTCACTTTAGTAGGAATATCTCAACATGCCCCACACCAACGAACTCCTAGAAATCACACTCAGGTGGAAGATGTCTGAATTTTTGTCGGGTTAATTTCCCACCCGCTAGCACACAGATGTCTCATCAGTAAGTCTAGAGTCATTGATATTTCTTACTTACTTGGTCCAACCAGCAAAATGGCATCAATGAAATGGACCAGTGTGATGTCTTGAAGAAGCGAAAGGTGATCAAGATCCCTATGGACTGAATTATAACACAGTGCTGGGAGTTGATACAGCCCTGTAGAAGAACTGTGGAAGTATATTGTGGGCCTTGTCAGCTGAAGGCAAACTGCTTCTGATGATCCCTTGAAACTGGTATTTAGAAAAAGGAATTGGCTAGATCAATAGCTGCATATCAAGTAATTGTTGTTGTTGTTATATGCCGTCGAGTCGGCCCTGACTCATAGCGACCCCTCCTTGGGTTTCTGAGGCAGTATCACTACGGAAGTAGGATTGCCCAACCTTCCTTCCGAGGAGTGGCTGGTGGGTTTGAACCGCCAGCCTTCTGGTTAGCAGTCAAGTGCCTTAGGCACTATGCTACCAGAGCTCCTTATCAAGTAATAGGAGATTTATTAATTGGCTCAAGCAATGACACCACATCAGGAACTGCTGCTGTTGTTGTTAGGTGCCATTGAGTCATCTCCGACTCATAGCGACCCTATGCACAGCAGAATGAAACACCACTCAGTCCCACACCAGCTCCACAATCCCTGCTATACTTGACCCCATAGCTGCAGCCACTATGTCAGTCTATCTTGTTGAGGGTCTTCCCCTCCTTTGTCAAGCCTCCACCTTACCAAGCATGAGATCCTTCTCCAGGGAATGGTCCCTTCTGACAACATGACCAAAGTAGGTAAGACAAAGTCTGACCATTCTTGCTCCCAAGGAACATTCTGGCTGTGCTTCCTCCAGGATAGATTTGTTAGTTCTTTTAGCAGTCCAGGGTACTTTCAGCATTCTTCACCAACATCACAACTCAAAAGCATCTTCTTTGGTCTTCTTTATTCATTGTTCAGCTCTCACATGCATATGTGGTGACTGAAAATACCATGGCTTGTGTGAGGTGCACTTTAGTCCTCAAGGAGACATCTTTGCTCTTCATCACTTGAAAGAGGAGTTTTGCAGCCCAATTGTCCAGTGCTATCAGAGGCAGTATGTACATTTGAAGCCGCCACTTGATTAAGTTTACAATAATCCATTGTCATTCTTCAAGATCCATCTGTTTTTTGCACAGGCCAAATAGGCAAATTAAAGAGGGTGTGGTGGAATAACCACCCCTGCATCTTTCAAGTCCTTGATGGTGGCAGTACTCTCTGCAATCCCTCCAGGGATGCCATATTGCTTTTGGTGTACTTTTTTTCCTAGGTAGAGGCAGTTCTAATGACTGCCACTTGGTTTTTCCTACCATAACATCCCTTACT